TTTAAGTTTTATCGTGAGTTCGTGTCTTTTCTATTCAAAACACTCATTCTAGCAAATACAACTGTACTACGACTTTTCTTCAAGAGTTCGTTCTTTGTCTACTGTGACATTTTCTATCTGAGAAACTGTTGCATCGGTTTCCTTTCGAAATCCATTCTGCATTTTACCCTCCCCAGTATCAGTTTGGTACAAGGTCTGCAATTTCGTACCGTACCAGAGTTTCAACATTCGCTCGGTACGGTACGAAATTGTATACCGAGCGGTATGCCATTCAATATACCGCTTGGTATATATATATATTATATTATATATATATATATATATATATATATATATATATATATATAACTCGGCGACATCGCCTTTTCCTTCCCTATGCGGGGCGACGTCGCGTCGCCTCGGCAACGTCACTGAACGTCGCCCTTTTCTCATATATATATATATATATATATATAATAACTTGGCAGAAGCTCTCTTGGAGAACTCCCTTAAACTCTATATCTCTAGGATGCGTCTTTGAGTGGTGAGTCTTTTGATTTCTATTCTGTATCCTCGTTTATAATCATTGGGGTAGTAAATTTCTGTATCCTTCTGTGATTTTAACTTGGTGGTGAACTATTTTTCAATCTTCTTTAAGTTTTATCGTGAGTTCGTGCCTTTTCTATTTAAAACACTCATTTCAGCAAATACAACTGTACTGCGACTTTTCTTCAAGAGTTCGTTCTTTGTCTACTGTGACATTTTCTATCTGAGAAACTATTGCGTCGGTTTCCTTTCGAAATCCATTCTGCATTTTACCCTCCCCAGTATCAGAAATAAATGACAACAAATGGTCAAAGGTCCAAGAAATCGATATATTATATCCAGGCTTCTGTGTAACAACGACAAATATCAACATAACAACAAAATAAAAAAAAAAACTCAAATGCATGTTTCCCCAATATAGATAATATATATGACAAGAGTTATGCGCCTCTTGTGTCGACTTTGGTATGTTCATTACTAGTCTAGGTGCAGAAAGTGAAGATCACTTCACTCACTTCGAGCATGGGCCAATTCAGGTCTGATTGAAATATTTGACCACTTAAACTAATAAACTTTATTCTAAGTTCCTACATCAATTACTATTTCAAACTCCATAGAACCCTAATTCACACAGAGAGGGAACAATCAACATCGACGAACAATTATCGTAGTAGATTAATTTTTATGGACAATCATTGACAATTAGCAAACAAGATATTTGTTGGTTCTCCACTACTCTTCCCTTTTAACCATCTATCTTTTCCTCATTCTCCAACACTCTCAACTAATGACTTGGTTGGTGTTACTATCCTTTGTCTAGATGAATGATGCAACAATTTATTGTTCATCTGGCCAATTGCGACAAGTATGGTTGATGTTGTTGCTTGTCTGACAAACATTGGCAGTATCTCTCTTGTAAATGATGTTATTGCTACAACCTCTAGTCTATGTTTTTATCGTAGTAATAAATATTTTCCTCAGAGTTTCGGGAAAAATATGACTTGCTTCATTAAAATGCACACTTCTTTGTCTCTTGAATTTGGTGTTCATGAGACTTAGAGCCCCTTTAAGTACTGTGCTTTTCTCTGTCAAATGATGCACACAAACCATTAAACACCAAATATCTACTTCTATCTATAAGTCAAAACTTTCACTTGTTTTGGACTCTTATTACTTAAAAATCGGGATTCTATTTCTCAAACATAATCCCTTTCCTGAACTGTCATCACGGAGCCAATCTCATATAAGGATCAGGATTCAAAATATAGAAAGGACTAACTGCTGTTAGTTCCAAACACTGCAATAGCCTCATATATCCTTAAGGAAGTTTGAATGCAAAACAGGAATTCCTTAATAGATCAAATTTCATATGTCCAATGTACTTAACCATCTAACAGTACATTTAATCTAGGATTCACATTCAGAAAGCACAGGTCCGCCAGCTGCCATATGATTTCCATCATCACTACCAGATGACTCAACCAGAATGCTTCCATAAGAGGGAAGCAAGAAAGAGAGAGAGAGAGAGAGAGAGAGAGAGAGAGAGATGGATAAAAACTATGAATTGTCATTGACCAAAAAAATATGTATATGTATTAACAGAGACATTTTCATGTCTCCAATGTCCTATCCACAAATCTATCCAACCTTTCTTCTTAGCATCTCATCACCAGCAACGCTCATGAACTAATACAAAAAAGTTGGCCACACGCTTGGTTCTTTTATAAAGGACAGCCTGCAGCTATAAAGGTCCATAAAAAAGGGCCAAGAGACACCCTTCCACCACAGCCACCACCATACTCCTCCTTATTAAGAGCAGACTAACCTGGAAGGTTTTCCCCAACAAAGGTGAAATTTCAACAGCTGGATCATATGCCAGCTGACTCAATTCTTCCAGAGTAACAGAACTGAAATAAGACCATCAGCAAACTATCCAGAGTTACTCCTAACTGCCCAACAATAGAACTTTTGAATCAACCGAAATAACAAATTTGTCCTGTCTTTTGGGACTTCTACTCATTCAACTTGTATGTGTTACTAATTGGTCATGACTCGGCTCAAGATCTATACCCACCACAGTCTTCTCTATATGATTGTACATATCAGATAGTCCTTCATTCATGCAACATAATTCCGCATATGCAAAGGTCTCCTTTGAAGACAAGACTGACATGCAAGGTAGTTACCTGATCACTATTTCTTTTGGGTCGAAATTTCAGAACATGTAATGAAAACTAGAGAAATTGAGTTCATGGCTCATGCTGCATTGTCTCCAGTGAAACATTGTATCTCCATATTGTCTCCTTGGGAAATCAGATACACAGACACATCCATCTCATATTCTTGTGTCCACGTACCTACAACTGTGTTGCAAACAAATAGTGGGAATTGGGTGACCTTAATATTTTAAAGTGATTAAAATTAGTATTTAAAAAAATCAAGATAGAACAAGTTAATTGATCACAATATAAAAGAATATGGAAAGAATATCAGCACAAATTCCTCTCGTTCTCTTGGGATCAGGACCATGTCATACTGAAAGCTCTGGTATCTTGGAGCATGTAAACGGAACACTATTCCTTCTTTTCCCTACCTTTCACGAGACTAATATACAAAAACCAACGCATTTATGCAAAGATGTAAGACAATAATATCAGACCCCTACCATTACGCAATTCATTAAAGAGTGAATAAAACACAAGAAGGAAACATATAGATATTAAAGAGTGAATACATTAGAAATCTATCTAGCAAACTGAAGAAGAAAATAAAACACAAGAATCACAACAAAAAGCAACATTCCACAAGAAGTAACAACAAAAATAATAATACAACAACCTTAGCACGTGCAAAATTCCAACTTGGTTCACCCCCATAACACCAAAGCAAACTAAAACGCAAGCACATTCATTGAAGCAAACATTAAAAGCTCGCATCTACATCACGGAGAGAAAACAATCGCATCGACCGAGGAATCCCAATAGAAACAAGAACATCCCAAACTCTCCAAGATCTTTACCGGCACGAGAAGAACAGGAAACCGAAGCATCTCCTTCCGTGAACAAAACAAAAAGACGGAGAAAAGAAAATAAGACAACAACGAGGGAAGCGGGATGCGATTACCCATCGGGGAGCGTCTCGACGAAGGTGAGCAGCATCTTGAGCTTACTCCCTCCATCGGAGGCGAGCCCAGCGTACATCTCGACGGCCATGGCGTCCACCACTTGGCGCAGCCTCCCGACCGGGGTGGCGCAACCCTCTTCGAACCCCTCCACCACCGCCACCGCCCGCCCCCACCGCAACCAGCTCCGCGCCCTCCGTCTCACCAGCCCCGCCGCGATCGCGCACGTCACCACCGCGCACCCCACCGCCACCCCCAACCCCACCCTCCCCATCCCGCGTCCTCCCGCTCCCCCACCGTGCTCCTCACTCCATCCACCGGCACGGACACCACGGAGGCCGCCGGCGGGAGGAGATGAAGCGTTTGCTAGCGCGCCGATGAGCGAAAGAGGAATGGAACAGAGAAAGCGACCGCTAAAGAGAACGCGAGCGACAAAGAGAGAGAGAGAGAGCGACCGAGCGAGCGCAGAGGGGAGGGTATGGAGTGGTTTATTTACAGGTGAGTTTTGCGCTTTAATTAATTGGTTAATTAATTAGTTAATCCCTTTTTAAGGGCACGGCAACATTGAAAATTTCAAATGTAGCGTTGCAATGCGCAGCGGAGTGCGTGCTCCGTGCGCCTTCCTTTCCCCTCAGCATTCAAAATGACTAATACGCCCCTGTTCCCGTCACGAAATATCGGATGTGGACAGCTGGGCTGGCGTTTGACTCGTGTCGGTTGTGGACCTCTGACGACGGGGCCCCCCCACCCCTCTCCCTTTCCACCGTCCCTTATATCGGCTCCCGTTTAGGACAGGGACGTCGCGATTATTTGCGATGATGCCACCGAATCAAATTGGGACCTCCATATCACCTTGGGGAACGAATGATGGGACCCGGTGATAGATACAGTAATTAAGGAACTGCTTCGCTCGGTAAATCTCATTCCTACGTGCTCTGATGACATTTGTTCATTGTTTCTTTTCTCCCAACTCGTAATTAAAAACATAGTGCTGCTTGTCACATCATATCAAATCATATCATTCCCAACAAATCGCTGTATACGTACTTCTTGGTGATTCCCATGCCCAGCCTTTTAACTTCAATTACTTGCTTTTATCATCCTGACTCATCATATATATCCAGCCCCATCAGCGAAGGGTAGAAAGGGAAAGGAAGCGGACAGCGCGGCTACAGTTCTCGACATATAACAACAAACGCGGAGGAACGGCGACGGGAGTTGCCTTCTGATATGGGCAGCTACACCATTCGTCACCCGACCCCGCCCACCCGTTTCCACCCACGATGACGCACCGGACGATGAAGCGGGACCCGGGAGAGGGGCCTGTGGGCGAGCGGGTGCCGACGCAGGCGGACGTCCGGGGATTTCTCCCGTGGATTCATGCGATGACGCCGTACGAGACAGCTGTCCTCCGCTAATTCCAGCTAATCCCCGCTCAGAGCCGTACCAAACCACAGCTTCCTCCCCCGACGCACACCATTACCGTCTCTCCCCCAACCTAATAATATTATTTATTGTTATCATATGTAGGGTGTGTATATAATATAAGATAAATCACGTCCCTCGAAAGAGTTCAAGAAAAAGAATAAATAATGAGCTGGAAAATATAAAGAGAGGGACTGCCTCGGATTAGGCGACCCGAGGCCTCGCGATGCAGCCACAGTCCGGGGCTCGAGTTCGACTCGGTCCGCGAGCCTCGGGCGCGCCGAAGCCCGCGCGGGTTCCGCCATGATCCACCGTCCGTTTGCCGTTTTCGATCTCCAGCGTCCGTGTGGAACGCCAGGAGGACCAACTGACGACCCACGCCACGACTTAACTTACGGCTCTGTGAATCAAACATCCCAAGCATAATGTATACATAGAACAACTACTTACCTTTTATTCTTAGATAGCGTAGTTGTTTATAGAAGAATCAAATCTTTTCTATAAAAAAATTTAATTCATTAATTATGTATTTTATATTAAAATAAATAATAATAATAATGATGACAATGACACAGTGCCTTTTCAACTAGTGTAATTGTGAGATAGATAGTGAATCAGAATGTGGTGTATATTATGCTTGTTTAACATGCTTTAATTAAAATATTTGGAGTTGGAGGAGTCTGATTTCCATCTAACGTGGAGCTTCCAACTCCTCCTACCAAAATGACGAATATTTAACTCATACAAATCATAAAGTGAGCTAAAGGCCCACTATGGTTGTCAATTATACGTCAACCTAACGTTAAAGTGTGGGAACATGCAACTATAGTGAAGCAAGAATGTCAAACCACTTAAAAGTGATCCATGTTGTGTTTGTCCACATTGGGCTCCTCTCGGCTTCCTCTTGGTTAATCTTCTCTATGGCATGGATACGACGAAAGGCACGGCTCAAGTAGCACCGCCCTTTCCTCCTCGTCTTGACGTAGCGTTGGGGCCACTAATACCCATTCATGGACACCATGTGAGACTTCTCATCTTGATGTCATGTTCCACCATCGCCACTTATTACTGTGGCTCGTTTGGCCATCAAATCATCAACTTGACATGTACATGGCATAACCAAGCGCACATCATACATGACGATGTAAGATTAGCTATTGCTGAGTAGAAATCACGTAAATATTAGGATGTTAAATCAAAATTTACGATTAAATAGGAATTTAATATGAGACTCTTAGTCAAGGTAGAAGTCTTTTTGTGCCGATCGAGAACTGAGTCTTTGATTTCACTCTCTTTAAATAGAGGCATGCACTAAATGTAAAAGGAGATGATAGAATTGTATTGGGTTAATTATATATTACCCAATAGTTAGGTAATTTTTATATTTTTAAAAGTTAGATTGATACTCTTATCCTAACATCATCGATTTTACTAATAAAAATATAAAAATAAAATATAAAATAATAATTTTAACGTTTGGTAGTGTATCGTAACTAATGCAGAGCGATAATGGAGTGCTCTATGGCTCTGTCACGGAGTGACGTTTGCGGCATAAAGTCATTGGTGCCGGCCTCGAAATTATCAAAACCCTACAGTTGGCTCCCCCGCTCGCTCTTCAAAATCGTCAATAGCATCTCCGTCTTACTTTTCCCCCCTTGTGCTCACCTTATTGTCGTTGCCAGCTAGAGCCCTCATGATCGCCTCCACCCCATCTACCTCCTTGACATCCCTCATCGCTTTGTCTCCGTCATTCTTTACCAAGTTCAGTAACGTAGCTGTAGAATTTTATTTCGCCCTTCCACTCCCTCCAACCATAAGATCCACCAAGACGTTGAAACTGTCCACCCTCCGGAATGGCTCTACATTCTCGTTGCATCTTGCCACTTGGGTGACCACTGTTGTTGCGTCCGCCACTGCCCTCCTCTGCCCGTCCTTCACCACTAGTGCAAAGAGGGGTGATACGGTACCCAGCTCGACAAGGACTATACAGTTGAGCGGGTAGAGGGCCAGGTCGAAGAGGGCCTTGAGCGTATCCTTAATGGACCTATCGGTGCACCGAGGGCGATGATGAGAGGCTTTTTTGATCCGATGATGGAGTAGTACACTTTGATGGAGAAGAGATTATAAAGGTTACGACGCCATGCTAAAGAGAGATGGGGGAGAGAAGGCAGAGGACGATGGCAAGGGCATCGAGGATGCTTGGAGTGCACATGAGCGCCTCACGGGTGGAGATGAAGAGATTGAGGAGGTAACAACGGCGTTCTCCTAGGCCTCGGTTGCGGATGAGTGGTGGTGGTGGTGGTTGAGGAGGCGAGTGGCAAAGAGGGGGGTACGCATCTCCAGGTCTTGCTTTAGGAGGTGATAGATTTCCGTGATGACTTTGGTAGCAGACTTTGATTCTGCGATGACGGAGCACCGATGCAGATATAGAGCGGTACAAGGGTCACTCGACAACTACGTCGACGTCGACACCACTAGCGCTACTATCTATCACCACAAACTATACTATTAAGGTTATCTTTTTACTATTTATTTTTATTTTTTTGTTAGTAAAACTAATATTGTTCGGATGAATCGACCTATATATTTCACTTTCATAATTATAAAAATATCAATATAATTTTTTTAAAGTAAAAAATTTAAAATATAAAAATAAAAAACTACATAGAGTAATATTATGTAATTAGTTTGAATTATATGTGATCGATTCTTTGTTAAGTCTACCAACATTATCTTTTCATGAACTCCACTAAAACACATACATGTAGATGTAGAAGTAAACTAGATTCCGAGTGCGCACTAAAAGGACGGATCATATGGCCAAATTCCATTAGAACACGGAACAACATGAATGCAATTATTTATGAATATTATATGATAAATCTAAAGGTGAACTGCGTATTAATGACAAACAAATTGGGTCATTAATGATTCTAGCCGTAGCTTTCATGATAGTCACCTAGAAAAAGTGATCCAACACAATGTTGGATGCAATTCGCCGTGCAATAAATTAAGCTAAACGCAAGCAGAAGGCGCCACTAGAGAAGATTTGATGTAATCAATGAAATCCAACATGGATTACTTTTCTTTCTCTAAATCTTCCAATGGATTGCCCTCATTGGTGAGGTTCTCTATACAAGTACGCATGACCCACCCAACAAGAACAAAGCAACACTAAGGTTCGCTCGATCAGTGAGGTCACCCTCAAGAAATCTTCTCCTTGGGAAAACCCTACAAGGATACAACCTAACTCGTAGGTATCATTGTCCACTTGCTTCTACGAGATCATGTGTCTCTGCCATTCGATCACATGAATTGTAGCATTCTAGATGTGTTCTTTGTCAATGGATTGGAGATCTGTACATGGGATATTGCCCCTATTTTCCTATGCTCAAGTGGAGGTCAATTCTATGTGGTTCGAATCTCTATTCTACTATCTTCCCACGTTAAGAAAAGGCTTAGCTTTGTATATAGAAGAAGTAGCACCTTTGACATATTCTTTCTCCATCATCTCTTTAGTGTTATAAATTGTTCAAATTAAAAAGAAAAAAAAAATCTTTTCAAAAGATTTATTTGAACAGGTGGTTTCTTTTGTAGTTATTTTGATAGTTATTTTTCAAAGGTTGTGTCTTTTAAAAAAAATAATCTATAAATAGGTATTTGAGGGTAAATAATATAGACATCTCTTTCATACTTTTCTTCTTTACTCTTCAAGTGATTGAATTAGACATTCTCTAATTTTTCTTTGAAGATTCTTTATTATTTGCTTAATATAGATCTTCTAAAGACTTATCATATCTACTAAAATTATTTGCATCAAACTCATAGCAATTTTATTGAGAAGAGGAT